AAGGCTTCACATATAGCTAAATATATGCATACATATATATGTGTGTATGTATATATGTATATATACTTGTATGTAGGTTATCTATTGCATATACATGTATATTGTGTATGTATATGTCAAGCCTGCACAATCTGAGGCCTGTGGGCCGCTTACAGCCCTTGGGCCACTTGTGGCATGCCAAAGGATTTCCTCTATATACAAAGGATGTTTTCCTCTACATTTTCCTCCAGCCACCCCAAAATCCTTTGGTGTGTTATAAGCAGCCTGAGGGCCATAAATGGCATGTTGGCCACAGGTTGTGCAGGCCTGGCATATGTATATAGGTATACATATATGTGCATATATATGTATAGGTGTATAGGTGTATACATGGGCATATATATGTATATGTATGTGTGTATGCATTTGTATATGTATGTAGGCATATGTGTGCATATATGCAGGTATATTGTCTATGTCAGTGTGCACATACCTGTGTGTGCATATATTATATATAAGCACACATATGTACATATATGTCCTCCCGAAATATTAATAGCAGCATTTTTTTGTGTATGAGAAAAAAAAATAACCGGGAAAGAGGCAATAACGGGATAGATAGCAATTAGGGGGTATGTCTTAAAGTCAAGAAGATCTGTGTTCAAGCCCCAACTCTGATGCATACTAGCTAATTGACAGTGAGTAAGTCATGATACTTCTGAATGTCCCAGGCAATTTTCTAAAGCTCTAAATTATAGACATTTATACGAGTTGGGAGAATTTCTTCACTGGTGGTTCTCCACATGGATGACATCACATATCCAAATAAGCAACAACAAAAACTGAAAACAAAGTGGGTATCCATCCATTAAGAGGAATGACTAAAGTGTATGAATATAATGGAATATTATCATATAACTAAAAAATAAAAAGAAAATGAGGAATTCAGAGAAAACTGGGAAGATTTATAGGAAGTGATGCAAAGCAAAGAAAGCAGAACCATGAGAATAGCATGAATGATAATTACAATAGTGCAAAACAAAATAACACCAAAAGTCAACTGAACCCAAATTAAATGCACTGACCAATACTGATTTCCATAGGACAAACAATGAAATAGACCTCCCTCCTTTCAGTACAGAGGGGGATTATGGATGATGAGTGTTGCATATTCTGACAGACACAGTCATCATGTTGGTCAGTTGAGTTAGATACTACCATTTGCTACCTGTGTGACTATGGGCCAGTGACTTTACCTTGCTGGCTTTCAGCGTCTCCACCTGCATGATAAAGAGGTAGCCTAGATAATCTCTAAGGACCCTTCCAGTTCTAAATTCTGTGACCAAGAATCAGAGTGGTACAGTACAAAAGAGTTTTAGATTGGTGATCAGAGGACTTGAGTTTAAATGCTGCCTCAGATATTAGCTATGTGACCCTAGGCAAATAGCTACCTCTCTGAGCCTCACTTTCTTTATCCACAAAATGGGGGTGTAGGACTAGATCCCTTCCAGCTATAATCCTATGGCCCCATCCTTGGTTTAGTACTTTTTTCCAAGTCAAGCATCCTATTGGGTTCTTCTGAGTGGCTTATCCATTTGAATGTCCCAATGAAAGAAAAATCATTGGCAGTGCCATTGAAAGGGAGCACTGGGAGACCCTGTGTTCCTGGAAAGGGTTTCTAGGGCTTTCTACAGCTCTTTGTCTACAACCTGCTTGTTCCTGGAGACCTCTTCTCTAGCAATCACAATAAGTGACATGTGGTATGCGTGGTAGCCTCTCTGTAGACTGCAGAAGCTGGACAAGGGAAAGAAGGGCTCCAGATTGGAGCAGTGCCCAGCAGGGCCAGCCTGGATCAATGTGGCCAGGATAACCAGGGGGAGCCCCATATGTATCCTCTGGGACAAATTCCTTTGACAGCATGGTCTAGTAGGCCTGGCTTCAAATCCCAGCTCCCACCTAGCTATGTGACCCTGGGCAAATCAAAGCCACTCAGCCTGAGATTCATCATCTATAAAATGAGGGGCTCACATCAAACATGAAATTGTATTCTAAAGGCTGGCTGGTTGAAAGGTCTTAAAAGCAGTCTGCCTCAGCATAGCTAAGGTTAATCTGTAAGTTTGATGCTTATTTAAAAGCCAAGTAGCTCGTATATTGAATGCTGCTTACCAAGTCTGTTTCAACGAGAGTTGCAGGAAAAACAGAAAAGGGAGAGAAAACCTCACAGACTTTACCTAAAATCTTTATAAAAAAGAACACTCACACTTATTAAATATTTAAAATGCCCAAGGCAATAGAAATGTCTCTTGATTCCCTTAAAATACATGACAGATTCATGCCATTGGTTCGAAACTCATATACACACCCAGTCACACACACACATGCACATACACATGTACACACACACACCTGTTCTAAATGATGCAAAAATATGTCTTTATTGGCTACAATCTGAAGCAAAGGCTATGGAATGAAATACCAAGCAACCTAATTTGTACAAGCGTGAGGCCTCCACACGGGCTTTCATTTGGAAGAGAATGACATCTGCGGTCTGACTCTATAAAAGCTTGTTCAGTGGAAATAGCCTGACATGTTTTACATGGCAGAGCTATTTAGCTGCCTGGTTTGACAAGACTTTTGAGAGGGGGGAAAATTAATTATAATTGCAATCTTGCTACAATAATTTGGCCTCCTGATTGAATTCCAGTGCAAAAACAGGCTGGGAGGAGTTTGTTCTCGGGTTGGCCTCCTAGATAGTAGGGGTATTTTATAAGCAATGAAAGGATGAAAAGTCCAACATTAAATATCCTCCTTTGGTAGTTTGTGGGGTCCAAAGTAAAGTGGCACCTCTGGTTGTGTGTGGGATTCAATAGGACAATAGGTTCAATTTTCTTTGAAACTGGAGTTAAGCAAAAGCATCCTTTCCCTGATAAAGTAGTGTGGGTGCTATTTTACAAGAATTTTGGACTGATTGTTTATTTTTTGGAAACTGGTTTGCAAGTATATGTGGGCAATGGGGAGGGATAGGGAGAAGTCAGGGGAGGGAAGACATCAAAAGACAATGTGGAGGGACATGGGGGGGATATATATTGAAAGGTATGAAATGAGGTATATGCTTGTGGAAAAGGAATCAAAAGATCAGAGTGCTATCAAGACAATGACACTTAAAAGAAACTAGATTGTCTTGGAATTAACCGGCATTTATGTATAGAGTGCCTTTTTATGTGCACTGAACTGCTTTGACTATGTACAGTGGCATTATAAGGAAATGAATCAACTTCATAAACAGCAGTAATTATTTGGATTTACCAAACCCGCTGGGGATGGACCCCCAAAGCTTTTATTTCTCTGTTCCAATCCTGGTTAAAAAGATTTTTTTTATCTCTGGTAAAAGTTAATAGTCACTGAGGCAAAATGGGGTCCACTTGTAAATTTTGAGCTTCGGGTCATTTTTACAACTGGAAAACTCAAGACTCTCATTGAAGCAAGTTTCTAAAAAGTTTTTCACCTTTCTTTTCCCTTCCATATTTCCAAATCAGTCTTCAGTGAAAGAGAATGTCATGATATGGTTATTTCAGACGTTTACCTGTGAAGCCAATTTCTCCAAGGTTCCCTCATCCATACAGACTTCAGGGTTTTTCCTTGAGTTGAGCATTTTAATGATGTCCAAAGAAATCTTGCCTCCATTATAGGGAGCCAATCTGCTACTTAGATTTGCTCTGGCTCTGAAACTCCTAGGAAAAGCACAAAGCTGGCCATGTCATTGGACTCCTCCACTGCTCTGGATACTCTTTGAGAAAGAGTATGATTCTCTTAGAAAAGATCAAATCACCTTTCTGAAGGATTCAAGCCTTCCAACTCAATGAGAGAAAACCAAGAGGCAGAGAGGGAGGGAAAAAGTATTCACCCTCTCCTGTCCTATTAAATTATAGACTATATCACTCTCCTGTTGGGCACAGCTGTGAAAGTGGTAGAAAATCAATTTTTTGTATCCCTTCATGGTGGGGAGAGAAAACCTATTTGTAAATTGAATCCAACCCTAAATGCCATGTCTGTGTATGTGTCAAAGACTAATAAAATTAGCCACAGTTACAACTACAATCCAGCAAGGATGTTTCTAGGTCAGTTCCTTCTTGGTCCAGAACTTGGTTCAGACTTTATATTTTCCAGTTGACCATCCGTGGCTCCCTCTTTTCAGAGATTTTTTTTTGGTAACAGATTCAAGGAGATCCCTCTAGAAATGGCACCAAAATGGAATACTCTACCAAGTTCAATATGATTTTTAAAAAAAAGTATTTCAATGTGATAAAAGTCTTGTTCTTGATACTTGGCTGTTTCAGTCAGCCAGGTTGTCAGCTAGTCAGTCAACAACAATTAGTGAGCATAAAATAGAATCATTCACTTAGCCTGTTGGCTAATAAGTCAGTCAGTTATCCAGTCATCTAGTCACTCAGGCAAATAGAAAGATAGTCACTCAAATAGACAATCAATCATCAAGTCACTCAGTTACTCAATTAGACAAAGACAAAAAAAAGTCACTCAGACAGTCAGCCAGTTAACAACAATTAGGGATCATTAAACAGAAGGATTCTCTTTGCCTGTTGGTTAATCACTCAGACAGATAGACAGTCAGTCAGCCAGTAAAATTGTCAGTCAATGAGCTAACAATTACTGAACATGAAACAGCACCACTCTGGATTTTGGTATCTTTGCTTTGTTTCATTCTCTGGTTCTGATTGTGGATGGGTTGGTTGGGCTATGAGTCAAATGTACAGGTCAGGTACAATTCAAGAAAACAGCTATTCCCTCACACAACACTGTATAAGAGCAATAGAAGTTAAAATCTTGAAAGTTCATTAAGAGTCTCCCCTCTAGTGGGACAACAAGGTATTTCAGTCAGCAAGAAACCTCTTT